AGGCACTTTAGAAACTAAGTTACGGTGCATGAATACAAATATGACCATATTATTTTTAGGCCTCTTGATTGACTGCAAATACTTTATAGAAATTATCATTTTGTGTTTCAAGAATTAATAAACATATATGCATCTAAAGATGTTTTCAGTTACAGGAGCACATATATCTTTGGTCTCATAATTATTTCTAATTTATTGTAATTGTTATTATTGTATTATAATTTATTTAACGACATGTACAATTATAATGCAGTTTGAAATGTTTTCAACATTTGACGAAGACGAACTTTCACTTACCAAACAATTATTAGATGAGCCACCCGAAGATGATATTTTATTTCAGATTTCTGATATCATTCAAACATGCCCGGTGCATATTCCTGCAATAATATTCCCAATATTAAAAAACACGAACCGTCCTCATGGTGGAACAGAAAGTAGTCGTCGCTACATTCATCGTGATAGGGAACAACGTCATGAACTTATTCTCAGCGACTACTTCAAAGGTGAGAATGCAAAATATACACCTGAACATTTTAGACGTCGATTTCTGATGGATATTGAGTTATTGAAAAGTATATTAAAAGGACTGAAAATTATGATGACTATTTTATACAAAAATTTGATGAAGTGGGAAAACGTGGTTTGGATCCTTTACAAAAAAATGATCGCAGTTGTACGTATGCTTGTGTATGGCGGTGCTGCCGATCCCCTCGATGAATATGTACAAATTGGTTTTTGTGATGCTATCATTGGAATATATGAAGAAAAATATTTAACAAGGCCTAATAAATTTGATGTTGAAAACTTGCTAAAAGATGGTGAGTGATGGAGATAAGGAGGTTTAGAATCTTCAATCTAATTATTTATTTCCTTCTTTATTATTATTATTATTATTATTATTATTATTATTAGTGAGATTCTTGTCTTATTGGACAAGTTAGTATTGTTAGGATTCTTGTCTTGTTTGACAAGTTAGTATTAGGGTTTTAGGAGCCTTATTTAAAGGGTTCCTCCTCTTTTGTGTTATTGAGTTGATTTTGAATTAAATAAGATATTGTTGAGTTTTGTGGGTTTTATGAGAGAGTATCTCGTTTATCCTTTCACACTCGTAAGCTTTTTTACATTAGTTGGTATCAAAAGTCAGCACGATTCACGATGTTGTCGCAACGACAAAATGCTGTCGCGACGACAAGATGCTGCAAATGACAGGTGTGTCACCGCCATCTACAACCTGAGCCGTCGGACCAAATGGTTTGACCGCCAGCTCGAGACGATGGGTCGTGAGATTGCAGATCTGTCCGCGGAGATCGGGGACATACGTCTAACTATCCGTACCATGGTTCGGGACAAACAAACGAACCGCGACTTGGCCGGCCGGGGCGGTCGCGGGGGTTATCACGGAAGTCATGGCGGAAGAGGGTCTGGTTGGGCTCCCCGTCAGCGTACGACACCATCGATGCACGGCGAGGACGACGGCGAAGAAATGTTGTCGGAGGTCAACCCCTTCGGCTTCCGACAGACACAGCAAGACGACGATTGGAAGTCATCGTTCCAAGTCGAAATCCTCGAATTTTCAGGGGCCTTTGTGGACACATGAGGGTCGACCGAATATGAGGGTCCGCCTCGTTTTGATGACGAGGGGTCGACTGAATATATGGGTCCACCTATTTTTTATATCGAGGGGTCGACCGATTATGAGGGTCCACCCGTTTTTAATGAGGAGCCACATGTTGCGTTGATGGAGGACGAGTACTATGTGGTTGTAGAATCATTTGTGAGGCCAGAGGTTGTGCCTGGAATGGATATTTTCTGTGAATTAGAAGATGAATTTTCATGGTCTTTTATTCAACAAGCATATGTGTCTGATAACTCGCATCGTTGATATTTTGACTTGGACCAGTAATACCACCATATAGGTGGCTAAACCGGTATGACTATTAATAGGTTTTTTTTTTTTTTTTAAATCTGATTAAAATCTACTCCTATTTGCTTTCTCCATGTAGCCGATGTATGTTGTGATTGAAGGATATATAAATGGATGTTACTTAACTGACTGACTGATAATCGTTACACTTTTGGTAGCCTGTCAATGTCTTGCCCACATGTTTCTGGGATAGCTGCACTAGTCAAATCTCATCATCCCACATGGAGTCCCTCAGCTATTAGATCAGGCGACTACAGGTTATTTGAGCATCTCCAATGCTCTAATATTGTAATAGGATAAATTTTGACAAATGTCAAAAAATTAAATAGATTGTGAACCATGTAGGACAAATGTTGAGTTCACAACTACTAAATTAAAAAATCACCTTCAATGCACAATGTAGTCAAATTACAATATTATCTACTTACCAAATATTAAAATTTTAATATGAATTAATAAAATTAATCAAATAATTAAATAGTTTAAAAAAGGTAATAGTAATTCTCTCTTTTCTCTTCATTGGCTAGCTAGAGTGTGGAGGAGAATATGAATGAACCACATTCTTCTCTACATTGTAGACATTAATTATTTTCATATCATTACAATATTTGTGATCACATTGTACATTGAAGGATGAAAAGTTGTGCTATTAATAAATGTGTTGATGTGGAATATAATTTGTCACTACAACATTGAGCATTGGAGATGCTCTTAGATCAGCCATAATGACTACTCATTATTTATTCATAATAATCCTTTTTTGTTTTAGGTAAACAACTTTTCAACTATCAACTTTGAAACACGATTTGCCGTGAAAAACCTCATTGGTCAATTAAAGCAAAGTGTCAATATCGTTGACGTGCGAAATTTGAGGCACCAATCCTTTTATATATTAATTCAAAACATACCGAGTTTAAGTGGCAAGCTCGCACGCTTTAGAATCCTACATATCACAATATCATGTTTTGTATTCAGGTTCGGGTAGTAAATTTGGAAACAAAATTAGATTGAAAAGTATCATAAATAATTTTTACCATATATCATTGTCTCTTATCAATCTCTTTTTCGTTACCAAAATTGTTTTGAATTTAAAGATCACACAAATCTTTCTTTCCTTATTTCATTTTTTTCATTTTAAAGATTACTTGAATTTAATAATTGAGTTATAAATATTTCTTTTATTTGGTAATTGAGTTAACAATATTTTATTTGATAATTGAGTTAACTAACACCATATCTACATTATTTTTTTATATTCTTTTATTCGATAATTAAATTAACAATGTTTCTAAATTTTTGGTGAATATATTCACACTCCAAAATCTTGAATTGAATTTAAAATGATTCTAACATCATATTCTAACGGAATTTTTTGTATATACTACAATACTAAACTCTCTTATTTTTTTATTCAAATCATTTTTTCATGAACTCGTGTAGTACCCGGGTGTCGTAATAGTACAGATTGAGTTGAAACGTGATTCAGGAA